ACACACACACACACACACACACACACACACACACACACACACACACACACACACACACACACACACACACACACACACACGTATATATTCTTGAACACAGAAAATATAGCAATTATGAAAAATATTGAAAATAAATGTAAAAGCACCGGAAATACTCTATATGCAGAAAATGATTCCACAATCACAAAATCAAGATAAAATCTTTAAATAGCTGAAAAAGACTAGTCGATATTGATAATCATTTAAATCGCTATTCCGGTAAGTATAAACGTGAGTAGGTTAACGAAATCATGAAAATGTTTATTTACCGACGATCAGTAAGTAGAAATAAATTTCAGAAAAGTAGAAATCTATCAGCTATCGATATATAAAAATTTTTATGATTCCGTGCTAATATGTAGTGCAAAATGTTCATTAATACTTCTGTTTTCAGTCTGTAAAAGCACTTTCAATTCGGCGTATTCGTTTGCAAGAGAAGTACAAAGTGCGATATAAAGACTTCCAAGACAATGCGAAATTCCGACGTAATACACAAAGTAATAATTATAAAGCATAATTAAAAATTAAAAAATAATTAAGCATAATTAATAATTAAAAAATATAAGAAGTGTATCAGAATATCAATTTACTTGATAAAGCGTTAAGAATACATTCTGTCGTCGTTCTTTAAATTTCTTTCACACGGTCTCAAGAGACAGTACGAAGGTACGGAAGATACGTCTTTGTCTCAAGTTTTCTGACGGTTCGACGCTCTTTCAGGACACCTTGTATAGTGCTCCGGTACGAGAGCTGTAACCGGAGCGTCGACGGCGAAGTGGTCGCAGACGATACAGGCGCAGACGCGAGCGGCCTGGTGAACGAACGAACGAGCGAACGAGGTTCGTCTAGTAATCAATGGTATGGCAGGGTGCTCCAGACCGCCCGACTACAATCGGTGCAGTACGCGGTGGACGTACACGGGGAAGCCACGGCTTCTCGTTCTCTTGCCGCTCCGAAATGCGTAATCCTGAGGAGGGTCGTAAATACGGGTCCGATTAAAACGGAGAATTGCGTAGCTCGCGATCAGACTTGCGCGGCTTGATCGTGTTATCAGCAGCTCGTTATTATAAATATACGTCGGTCGCACGACGACGAGTGTCACTTTCGTGAAACTAAGAGAGAGAGAGAGAGAGAGAGAGAGAGAGAGAGAGAGAGAGAGAGAGAGAGAGAGAGAG